ACTTACTATGCACTCCTCATTCAAGCAACATAAATCGCCTGAAACCGATGTGGGCTTCCAAAAGTGTTCACCCTGCACCGCATTCTCAGTCCAGTCGGGCACAATTCGTATGGGTCGCCTTGCATTACTCGCTGACGCTGATCGTCTGCAATAAAAAATGAAAAATTATAATAAAAAAAACTATCTATTTATGTACATATGTGGTATGTGTTATAAAGGGGAAAAATATTCAAAATTCAAACAGTTCGATATACTCTTGCATTCCAACCACAAAGACAGCTGCCACAAATAAATAATCAACTTGCGCACACATTTGACCTTGCATGTTTTGAGGAAATGCAAAAAAAAAAAACAAGTTCACCACCTACAGCAACAGATACATACATATTCGCATACATATTTAATGAATGCGATTCAAGCTTCAATAATAAAGAAATTCTGACCTTTATTTGATTTTCCAATTATACCAATTGTTCAGGTTTACATACATATATACATATCTAAGTACATATATTGTTTTACGTCGTTGATATTCAAAATAATTCGTGTTGATGTAATAAATATATTCATTTTAAAGCGCCTACATTTTGACAGTTAAGTATTAAAAGTGGTCTAAGAATGCCGTCAAATAAATGGAATTTAAGAAAATGCGTGTTGAAACTGTTTTCTCAATTTATAATATCCACGTTTTTTCCCCAGAAATGTAATAACTTTTTTTTTTCTACCGCCTCCACACGAAAAATGAGTAAAAAAAGTCAGTGAATTTTTGAATTTCGCGCGCCGTAACTTCAAATGTACGCAACGGCCATAGATTAGTATGCGGGGGGTGAAATAACACAAACGGTAATAACGCAAATTTGCTTTATTTCATTTCTCGTTGAGCAATAAGACCAACTTTTAAACTTAACATTTTGAGTAATAAAGCAAAATAGTGCACATATGTAGGTAGTCACCCACTTACATTTGACAAAAAGTAGTACATGAACAAGTTAAATGGACGGATTTGTATGTATACAATTTTGTAAGTGCCCAGCGTCGCGGCGGTCCATGTTGGCGCTCGCGCGCCCACCGCTTCACCTGTTTATTGCGCCATTGGTTCCATGCAAACATTTTAAGGTTTTCCAGCAATGTTTTCAACAAATTTAAAAAAGCATGCAGATAAAATTCATGCAAAAACGCTATGTCCAATTTTCTGAGCAGTTATTAAAGACGACTCTTTTCCTATATTTTGTTAGACTTTTCATAAGTAAAAATATTTTGTGAATATTACTTTCTTCATATGAATTATGTCACATTTTTAGTTTAATTGTTTTTTTTGGAATAAACAAAGTTCTTTTTGCTTCTGTCAGTAAACTTTTTTTGTTACAATTAGTCTAAGTAAGCAATGGGAAATAAGGCAAAATTTGTTTTATTTCCAACCTTTGTTGGAAATAAAGTAAAACTCAGATTTTGGTATTATTTCCCATTTAAAAGTGAAATAAAGCAAATTTTTATTTATTGCCGTTTGTGTTGTAGATTACAGCAATATTTAAGGCTAAATACAAAGAGAAACGTAAGTTAATGGACTATGATATCGATAACACTGTATTGAAAATCTCAAGTTATGAAATGACATAAAAACCCCCGAAACACTTAAGCTTAATTTTGAGGCGTAGATAATGAGCCTGTATTCTGTTTTTCTAAATCAAGTCAAAATTTAATGGGGGACAAATTAAAAAAAAAAATTATTTTTTTCAATTGTATTAAAGTTTGTTCCACAAAGAAATCAAACTAGTAAAAAAGAAAATCGGGGTTAAATAAAAAAATTTTAAATTTAAATTTTTTCCCATGTTGAGTTTTGATTTTTTTTTTTTGTTGAAAATATTTTTGGAAAATGACCTGATCTAGAAAAACAGTTTACAGATCCGTAATCTACGACCCAAAATCAAGTTTGCGTGCCTCGGTGTTTTTTTTGTGTCATTTATTCTGAATTTGAATGAAATCCGACTGTAAATACGTGTAATCAACTCCAGCGCCACCTAGCACAGTAGACACCAGTGTAAACATATCTTATCGATTTAAACTCAAATTGGTTCAGTAGTTTTTGAGTCTATAAACGACATAGCAACCGATACATACGGTCTTTTTATATAGTATGTATGTATGTATAATAGATGTATGTTTGCATGTATGTATTTATGTAAAAAGAGGAATAAGGTGCTTTTTGTGCTTCCTTTTTTTTTGCTTATTTATTCTCTGAGGACAATAACGAATACTCCATCAGCGCCGCCTAGAGGATGACAGTTTGTCGTTTATGACCGCAAAGCGAATATTATGACCGACACAAAGGAAATAACAAACAGAAAGCGCTGAACGCATGGTAAAACATGTGCCAATTTATGGCAGACACACAAATGGGGCAGCTGGATGGACAGTTGGACAACCATTGGACAAGCGGATAAGCCGTCAGCCATTATCATCAGGTGCCTTTTAGCTGACTACTCGTTGACAGACAAACGTACCTGCGTGTACATATGGACCTTGTAGTGTCAGAATGAATGTACAGACATACATATGTACATATGTATGGAATACAAAGTGCAAGAAATACAGTGTTGACAGTGCAACCTGTATGCAGCCTTGTGATTATCTCCAGTTTTGCATTGATACTGGTATTGCTACGATTTGTGTTGTTTTTGTTGATGTTACTGCCAGTTACTGTCAGGGAAATCAACACTGTGTATTGTTAATGTCATCCTGCAATAACCCTGTCGGTGTCGGGAAACGCACTAGTGCCGAACTGGTTCTGTATTAGTATTATGATTTTTTCAATCTTATTGGATTTTCCGTGTGTTCAATTTCAAATTATTTTCAGAGAAGTGTGTTTTCAATTTGAAATTAAATTTATTTGAATGATTGTAAGAATTGGTACGTTTACATGCCTTCGCCTGTAGCTGAATTTGCGGAGGTGCTTGCAGATGGTCCCGAAATGTTAAATTGTTAACACAAATTTTTATTTTGTATAAATAAAAAAGCATCTGCGAAGTGCAGAATGAAAGCGTGTTTTAACGCAAAAGCAGCCAAACACATTTATATGTAAAGTAAACAAGCCCCGCGCTGCATCCCTTATTCTATAGTTCTGAACCAGTTCTAAATTCGTCACCATAGATGTCGATTTCTAATGAAAAAAGTGAAATAAAGTAGTTTTTTAAAAGTACCACATTTCCCTCGTTTTGAACTGGTGGGGATCTAATTACTAGAAATTTAATTCACTAGTTCGCCGTTTCCCTGCAGGGAAGTGTTTGTGTATGCGCGTGTCTGTGTCTCTTCCCAGTAAACTTTTGGGTTGAATGTCAAGTGGAAATGCAATAAATATTCCAACCGCCACATTCTGAAAAATGGATCCCATTTTTGGTACATATGTAAAATAGTCCACTTGAAAAAAGCTTGGGTATCAATTTGGATTCAAACTTTATTCAACTTTTAATCAAAACTTTGAAAAAATCTGGGAGAAAAATGTTTTACATTCACTTAAGAATCGAAAATGTCGCAAAGGTTGCAAAAAAAAAAATTTGGAAAAGAGTTCACTTTGTGCATGTTGGATTTATTTATTGCACAAATATCACTAATACTAAAGCAATAACATAGTTTGACTACAATAGCGCATATTAATTTATGTTTAGTGTGTTCTTTTTCGTCACAGTTCTCAGCAAAAACTGTGTTTCTGCTTTTGGTAAGCACTTACTATTTGTATCGATGGAGTAACGCATTACAATTCCCCTCAAGACAAAACTTTTCACTTTCCCTTTTACTCACATTTTTTGCATTCTCTCGCTTACCTCCAATGACATGCCCAGGTTAAACTAACTAGAAGGTATGTGTTGAATTTCGAAAAACGCTTCCCAATCGAATTTCACCACTTACCTTCTAGTTTACAAAAGACATTACTTCAACCTGGCCATGTCATTGGAGGTAAGCGAGAGAATGTAAAAATGTTTAACGAGAAAGTGAAAAATTTTGTCTGGCGGCGAATTGTAATGCGTTACTCCATCGATACAAAAAGTAAGCGCTTACCAAAGACGCAAAGTTTTTGCTGGATTTGGTTAAGAATCGGTGCTTGTGCGTCTGTATCTGTATCTAACATGTTGAAAGTTGTTTCTTCACAGCATTTCCATACATTTGACAGCTTTTCCATTCATGTTGAGCGCAATTGATGGCTTCAAAGCATCGCACCGCTGTTTTCATTTTTTCATCCCAGTTTCTACCTTTTTTCGTGCGTTTTTCTATAACATACTGTTGCATCCTGTTAGTGTTGCTTTATCGCATCGTTTTTTTTTGTGTTAAGAATTTCAAAGCAGCATCAATCCTGTGTTCATTTATGCCAGTTTGAGAGTGAAAAAATGCATGAGTATAAATGTACACCTACACAGGTAACTTATACGTATCCTGCAGTGACAGCTATGTGTATGTACTTTTAATCTAGGTTACTGTATTTGTTTTCTAGCTGAAATAGTTCGCCTGTGATTTGAGCAACTAGTGTTTTTAACCAAATGGCAGTTTGTCAATTGACATACTATTTATTTACTTTTTTTTTATCAATTAATTGTTGATAAGCATCACCAGTTAAAACAAATG